CTTCAACTCCCAGATACTTGATGTTGATTTTGGACCTGAACTCATCTGGCCCGCCTGTAGCTGAATGTACTGCCTCCAACTGCATCCCGCACTCCTTCGCAAAACTCAAGGGTCCGTTGAGGCAACAGTTAGTACTTGTTTCAACGATGGCTTGGGTTTCGTGACCATTAACGCTCACCGTTTAGTATAGCAGCTTGGGGCATTCCAGTTGGTAGTTCGCAAAATGGCGGAAGGTCAGAGACAAATCGGTGAAATCCACCACGCAGTTAAAGCGGTACAAGAGGTCTAAACCAAGGAGGTTTTCATGAGAACTATGGACTCTGCAGCGGACCTTGAAGGTTGTTCCTCCGACCTCCATCTCGAAAAAGCATCGGTCCTCGTCTTCATATAGCTGTCCCATCTCTCCCCATTCTTTCATCTGTGAGCGTTTAACCAGAGTCCTTGGGCATCTTGTGTCGACTACGAACGTAGTCGGGGACTCAAAGCAGTCGATGTACACGCGGGGACGGCCGTCTTCACCTATTTTCATTTAGTACTTAGTGAACGCTTCTTCCTGCATCACTTCCTCCACCTCGTCTGTACTACCCACACAACCGCACAAATACCGCGTAAATCTGCGACGAATTTCAGTCCACCATCTCCTACGAGGGTGCTTACGTGGTGCCTTACTTACTACCAATTTCCGCTTCATCCACCTCCCACATGCCTAAAAGAAGCGAGGGATCCTTTTCGTTAAACTCCTCCACGTCTTCCCATCGTTCGACTCGCACTCCCACTCCGGCTCATATCTCGTCATCTCCCAGGTCCCGTCGTCGTGAAACTCGAACCGGATCAAGTCCATCATGCCGAGCCCCAACACCGTGAAGTCTCCCAAGCCTTCAGGCTGAACCCAGAATGGGACATCGGACTCTTCAGCATCCAGAAACTTGAGCTTCATCACATCACACCTGTATTTGTATTGACCTATCCCGTAAGTAAGGCAATGTAGTCTTCTCTTCATATGCGACACATCCTCCAAGGGCATTCCGCACTTCTTTGCCAATTCCAAGGGACCGACAATGTAGCACTCAGCCCCTGTATCAACCAGGGCTTCGGTTTCCTGACCATCAATGTCGAGCGTTATATATATCCGGTTGTTGTATCGCGGTTGGTAGTACGAAAAATGGCGGAAGGTCAGCGACAAATCGTTGAAATCCAACACGCAATTAAAGCGGTACAATAGTTCTATGCCAAGGAGGTTCCTATGATAGTCAAAGACGTCGCACTCTACCGTGAAGACAGTTCCTCTGACCTTCATCTCGAAATGGCAGTAGCCTTCCCTTCCATCAAGCTGCTCTTCCTAACCCCATTCTCTCATCTGTGAGCGTGTCACCGAAGTGATCTAACACCCTGTGTCGACGAGGAATACGGTCGGGACGCCATAACACTCAATGTCCACGCGGGGGCGTTGTCCAGAATGTACACGGTGAACGTCTCTTCCTGCATCACGCCCCCTTCAGCCTCTGACTTCGAGGCTGGCTTCGGGCCAGGGATCAGGTCGACCAAGTGAGGACACTGGTCCTCTTGAGAAGGCAGCTCCAGCACCATTTTCTCCTTCAAGAAAAGTGTCTTATCATATCTGCCTTGGGGGTAACCCTACCTTCAGGTAAAGAGGTGTTTCTTCAGACGTGTATCGTGGTCGTGTGTGTGTGTGTGTGCATCTATTATATATATGCGGTATTTCGGGGACAGCACTTTAAAGATATCTAGGGAATGAAAATATAACCCTTTCAATTTTACATATTACCGCGGGGGTGACTTTTTTTTATGTAGTTGCATGTGCTTGTGTGTGTGTCACAGAAACAGAGAGAGAAGAGAGAGAAAGAGAGAGAGAGAGAGAGAGAAAGAAAAGAAAGAGATAGAGAGAAACAGAGAGAGATATAGGGAGAGAAAGGGAGATAGAGAGAAACAGAGATAGAGGAGAGAAAGGGAGATAGAGAGAAAGAGATAGAGAGAATAGAGAAGGGAGAAAAAAAGAGAGAGAGAATGAATAGAGAGAGACAGAGAAACGGAAAGATGCCTGAAGACGAAGTGGCGAAGGAGCGTAGACAGAGGCACCTGGGAAGTGGCTAACGTCTCCCAAGGGTATAAGGAAGAGGATTTTCCAAGAAGATAAGGTGTTGGGAGCTAATGATCGTGGGAGTCGAGTATCGAAAGAATGTTAAAAGGATTAATAAAATGCATACATGCACTCCTTGTGTATCAAAATCGTGTTAGCTGTGACGATGAAAGCTTCACTTAATGTAATTAATTGTCTAAAATAGCGAATAACTGAGGAACAAGATACAAGAACACTACGAAGGAAACGTAAAAAGAAAAGAAAGAAAGTGTAAAGTGTAAACAATTAATCTTTTTTTACACAATTAAAGACAGATACACACACACAAATGCGCAAAAACACACACATAAAGGTACCAACACGAAGACATGTATACCAACACACAAACACATACGCACATAA